TCCCCCCTTGCTGCTTAAGCAGAGATCGCTCCCTCCTCTCTGCCACAGCAGGGACTGTAGCCAGCATCTGGTATGCTGGCTAATGCTGAGAGGTGTTTCTGTGTGTCTCTTTCTTCCATTTCACTGGGATAGGTAGACAGAAAAGTGACCAGTTAGGGCTTTTGGAGTTAATCAACAGGTCAGCTGGTAAACTGTTTATGAAGTTTGAAGTAATGTCAGTTTACAGACAGTATGTTGAAGCAGAGAGGGAGATTGAAAAGCTCTGTATCATCAACAGATGCACTGCGCACACACCCTTGCCTCAAAGTGCTAGCCTGGGACTGGGGGCTGGTAACACTCTTGCCCCTTCAGAGGCGGGAAAAGCCTGGGACTGTGCAGGCAGACTTCCCTAATGAGAAAGTCCTGCTAGGGACTGGCAATGCCCCCCTCAGCTCAGCTCCCTGCAGAAGGGAAGGGATGGCTGCTCTAGCCCCCACTCCCAGCTTCTATCTTGAGCCACTGCAGGCATATGCCTGAATTTCCTCAGTCCAGAGAGAATGTCTATCTAGTTTCAAACCAGTTCAGCCTAGTCAGGTTAGACTAGCCTGCAAAGATTGAATCAATTCAGGCTCAGGATGTCTGTCTCTAGCCCTAAGGTTCAGATCATTCAAGGTCAGAGATGTTACTAGTCACAAACCATTCTTCATAGTTACTCCGTGCATCATCCGTTAAAACCATTCCCGTACCTTGCCTGACTGTGAAAAACATTCATGTTTCAAAGATTCAGAGCCTTCATTATGCAGTCACATGTATCAGGAAGCCAGAATATGGTATCTCTACTAGAACGGTTTTGATTTTGGATTATTTTAATTAAATCCCAGCCCTTTGTTTTATGTTTATTCGGAGAACAATTGTAGCAAGTCATTCCTTTTAATTTTCCAGACCTGTAAGAGACAAAGTGCACCTTGTAGCACTTTAAAAATATAGGGTATTTTTACACATTGAGGGGTGCTTTAATTAAAATTTAATTACTGGCAGAATATATGTGGCAGAATATATGTAGATATATATGTAGATAGCTTGATTTTGCAGTATCCTGGTTAGACAGCCTAGGCTTTCAGATGTGTCAAGAAATCTTTTCTTTATTTGCTCTGCTGTGAGATGTACTTTTGTGGATTCTGCTACTATTACATTTTTTATCAAAACTAAAGAGTTTTAAGGTGCTCAACCCCAGTACTGGTTTTGCTGGATTGTCTATTACATAGAAATCCAGATTTTGACGTACCTGTATTTCATAGCCCATTTCCCTACTCTGTGGGGTGGATGTCCTCTGCAACTTTTTAGTCTCACTGATACAGGCAATGTTAGTGCTGAGGTGTGAGCTAAATTTTTCCTAAATTCTGTATTAGGGATGCAGTTTACATGTACCCTGGTGTCCATTCTGAAGTGTATGGCTATTTTTTTTAACCTTTTAGGCAATAGGCCTCAGCCCTCTTGACTTCCTTATTCTTAACTATAGCATAAAAGAATGCTACGTCATTGCTGCCAGATGGTTTCATTGATGTTCTCCTGTTGTATACTTTATAAGACCTGTATTTTTCTGTTTCCTAGGACTCATGCAAGTTGCTTTGATTTGTTATACTTTGTGTATATCTTCATGAGCACCTAGCTTTTCTTTTGCTTTGTGTGATGCAGATGTTCTGTGACAAATCTGATGTACCCGTGCCTTTGCTGCACCATTTTTTTCAAAGGTGTGTGTGGCTGGTGCCTCACTGTGGTACTCATATCTCTTTTTTTTTGTGTGTGTTGTTGTATCACTCTTAGTCATACTTTTCTATCTTATTATGTGCACCTTGTGAAAGGTATTCGTGATTAATAAAAGGTTAAAACTTCTCTTTGGAAGCTTTGTTCCTTGTCTATTATAATGGCTTTTTCTGTTCTCCATTATTTCTTTTTCTTATTTTTCTTTTGACTTTCATTAATAACCTTCCTTTAGGACCTTGCATAGTGAAAGCATAGCCATTTATTATCAACAGCAGCTGGGTCACCCTGTCAACAGTTGTCTCACTAACTCTCTAATTTCTCACCTAAACATTTTTTCTTTGTATGGAGTTATTGGGAAATGATAGGCTTCAAACAGCCTGTCTGGATTTTTTATATTTGTTTCAGTCAGCTTGCTACTAAAGATGTATTCTCTGTAGATATTCCTTTTTGTCCAATGCACATTAAAAATGAGCAGCTTTCAGGCTGTAGAGCACCAATGTGTATCAGTCCTGAAAAGATTAACTACTTCCACCTAATCCAGTTCTTTGCAATGCTTCCAGTTTCAGAGTCCATAAGCAGCACGTTTCTTGAATTATTCTGCATGAAATTCATAGTTAGTCCAATCTTACACTCCCTTTGAACAGATCTCATAGGAATGAAAATCCATAGGGTAAACTAAATAGCGTTTGATTAATAAAGCTCTTCAGACACATGCTGCTGTCATTAGCTCAGCTTAGCGTACATGGAGAGTAAACAAGAGCAGTATCTTCAATGTCTTAAATGTATGGGGCACCTGTTCTCTAATTGTATATGAATACTGGTGAAGATAAACATATTGCATATATGACTTATTCTTTCATAAACATCCTCATTTCAATGGAAAGTACCAAGAGCATTCTTGTTAAAATAGATGTTAGCTTCTTTTTCATAAAGTAACTGACATTTCTGGTTTTGGAAATGTGCTTGTTTGCTTAATTCAGGATGTGATAACTGAAAAGGCTATTTTAAAATTAAAGAATTTGTTTCATAGATAATGTAATCTACATATTTTCCAGAGACTTGGAAACAATAGAGATCCCAAATATAAATGCAAGGATGTTTCAGCCCTTGAGGAACCTTTCCCACATGTATGTATTCAAAATAAAAAATATCATGACTCCTTTTCCTTAACACACAGAAATGTACCAAGTAGCTCTGATTTGTTATATATTTCTATTTTGTTAAATGCTAATAAGATTGTCAAATAGGCTTCTGTTTCTTCAAAAGGTATTAAATATGTTAAACTTCTATGCAGAGATAATTAAAAAAACGCATCTTCTTTGTGTAATTCATATTCCCTATTGGTATCATTCCACTTTTCCACAGTGACTTTTTTATTATATGCTTTGAAGAAGGGAGGCATTTTTCAAGGCCAAAATCCAATTCAGAAATGGCAGCTTTTAAGGCCTTCGTAGATTTAAGATTTTAGAGCCTATTCCAGTTGAACAACTCACCTTTCCTTTCTGAGGATACCTGGAAAGGGTCAGTAACTGTCAGGTTGTTCCCGTACACACTGAACATCTTGAACCTTTTGCTCTAATCCTAGTTCTTTATCCTGTTTTGGCTTTTCTCCCTCAAAGTATCCCCAGTTGCTGCCTCTGTATAATGACATAGAAAGTAAGTATTCATCAATGACTGCACTTGTCTTCCTGAATTTATTCCTAGAGTTCAAATTGTACTGCATCCTCCACTCTTTACTTCCTCTGGAAAATGGAAAGCTTCATTCTGTTCCTAACTCCACTGTGTCATCAGTGTGTAAAACGTAAACTGCCCCTGCGCAGTTGTCTACCAACAGACTACTAGCAAAGTCACCCACTGAGCTACTGGGCCATACCTGCAACAAAATTTGATACATCAGCCTTCCTATATTTCACAATCATTTCAGAAAGCTAGTTTATCTTAACTTAAAATGGTAAAATATGTATTTTATTATTTTATACATCTTTTTCTTTCATTAATTTATATTTTTGGATGATCTAATATTTATGTACAGGTTTCCTTCGCTTTATGCTGTACATACATTCCTGGAAAACGGCACATAACTCGAATTTGCATAAAGGGAACCCAGTTTACAATGTAACAAATAGGGATACGTTCCAAGACCTCAATTGTAGTGACTCCCAGACCCATTTCTACCACTTTTACAAGACAATTTTGGTACTTACCAACAGCAGACAGTACAGACAAGCACAGGGTGGTAGTGAATGTTTAGTTGGTGTGAAGAGAGGGTGGTGAAGGGTGTTAGTATTAGTGAAGTTCTCTTGTGCTTCATTGATGGACCAGGAAGAGGAGTAAGAGAGAAGCTAGTGGGACACTTAGAAGCCATAATGGGGATGGCAACTACAGAAACATGTGTCGCCGACAATGAGCGAGGAGCACTAGTCCACACAGGAAATTATATTTTGGTGCACATCACTCCCACAATGCATCACACAAAGCAGCTGACTGCGGGCTTCCACCACACCGATCACATAAGAGTGAATTTACCTGGCACACAAAAATGTTTTGGCATAAAAGGGTCATCACATAAGAGTGAATTCACACATACAGAACCTGCATAAAGCGAGGGAAACCTGTACATCATTTCACATATAAACTGATAAAATATTTGATTTTTGGAAGTTGATGTTTTTTGTGAATATTTTGCTTTTGCTCTATCTGGCTCCATTTCAGCAGAGCTCTTGAGCACCAGTTTAACATCAAATATGTTCTTATACCAAATTGTACTGAGGATCACACCTGCCCTGCCCACTCCACCCACGTTTCATGCCTGCCTTCCCCACCCCTCATGGATTGTACCTCTTCCCTATGCCACCCACAGGTTATGTCTGCCCTGCCCACCCCACCTGTGGGTCATACCTACCCCCCCCCACACCTGCCCACAGATTGTGCCTGCCCTGCAACCCTAAATGCGGGTCATGCTTTGCCTGCCCACCCCACCCATGGGTTACACCTGCCCCCCGACCTCACCTGCAAATCATGCTGTCCCCTCCATCCCACCCACAGGTCATGCCTGCCTCCCCACTCCACCTGCAGGTCACACCTGCCCCGTGCCTCCCAGTGGACACCCCCCCCAGTCCCTTCCAGCCTGCTGGACCCCTAACCCCCCCCTCCATCCTGACTTGCTTGATATTGGGCAGACATTTTGATTTGATTTACTGCCCCCCTCCCAATGCCCCTGAATGTCTGTGCTTAGCTTTAGAGAAATGCATTAAATAAATTTTCACTCCAAAGAACTGAGAAACATGCTGGAATCAAGAGAATATATGTCAGTTCCACTATAAATTACCATGCTTCCTTTTCATAAATGCTAGTTTTCAATAATTTATTAACCTTCCTCTTTTTTTAGTATAGCTAGGGGATGAACTACTCCAAGCAAACACCCTCTGCAAAAGTGTGTCTTTTTCATCAGCCCCACTCTATTTGGCTAAACAAGTCAAAAGTGTCAGTATCTCAGTAACATAGCTCAGATTCAGTTTACTGATGGCCTTAAGTGTCAAGTCACAGTTTAAAGACAAACCACACACCAACAGTCTGTTAATGCAGAAAGCAACATTGACCTGGCAAAATCCCTTCTGCCAAGATCAAATCACAAATCTGCTGCTTAGGAATCCCAGCATGAAACACCATGTAATATCAGTGTTCAATTTGTGCAAAAAAATTATGGCCCCAAGATCAGATAAGTAAACTTTTTAGTGTGGCAGTCTTGCCTATCTTCGCCTGGTTCCTCGGGCTTAGAGAACTGCCAAAGCAATTGGTGGGGCAAACCAATCAGAGACCAGCAGGGCAGGGGCCTTGGGAGAAGTCCTCCCCACCCCTACATCGGGGCGAGGTGAAAAGCAGACCTAACTGAAGACTGTGCTCCACCTCCCCACAATCGGCCAGTCTTCACTCTTGGGACAGAGTCCCAAAAGTGTATATAAGGAGCTGCGTGCACAGCACATAGAGGAGATGACAAGGGACAGAGAAGAAAGAAGCAGCTGGGGCTGAGGAAGAGCTAGGAAAGAGCTACCAAGGGGGCACGTCCAATTGTCCTGAAGAGCCTGAAGACTCCACCATTGGACGGGAACTGCGTCCCCAATCCCTTACCACAAGAGAGTGTGCCAAGCCAGTGTAGGCATCATTGCACAGAGGGGCCACAAGGGACCGGGACTTTGGGAGCCACTCAAGGCAGCTTGGGTCTCCAACCCCGGCACAAGGCCAGATGGTGCAAGTGTCACTGCATGGAGGGTCTGCAAGGAAACCAGGACCTTGAGAGCCATTTGAGGTGGCTCAAGTCTCCAACCCCAGCACTTGGCCTAATGGTGCAGGCAGCGCTGCACGGAGGGTTCACGAGAGACCGGGACCTTGGGAGCAGCTTGAGGCGGCTCGGGCCTCCAATCCTGGCACAATGTCAGAACCAGTGCAGATGCCGCTGCATGGTGAGTCATCGTCAGACTGAGGGCCCTTGGAGGGGGCAGGGGACGGTTCAGGCCCCATTCCCTGCTGTGGGGCGCGAGGGCTCATGGGCAGTGCAGGTTCCACAGTGCAGCAGGCCTGTACTGGAGCCCCAGCCCTGGGCTCATACGAGGTGGCCCAGGCCCACAATGTGAGAAGGCTGAGAAGGCTGAGCTATCTGGACATGTGAACGAGTCATGCACCCAACACAGGACCTGAGACAGAGCACCCGCTATAGGAGCTGCTTGCTTAGCTGGGGATGGAACACCAGGAACATTTGCAGGACCCTACTCACTGGAAAGCATAAGTTCTCGGACAAGGGGTTTCTCCCCGGGGAGGGACACAGTGGATAGTCCCATCAGAGGAGGTTTATGCTAGAGAGAGACAGACTCCTCTGGAGGAGGGGGGTATTTGTGATTACCATACATTTTGGAGTGTTTGTTAATTGCTTCCCATGTCTTATATTTTGGAGTGTTTATTAACTGTTTACTGTGCTTTATATTTTGGGGTGCTTACCCATCAATTGTTGGGACATACTTACCCTCTGGGGATCTGTGGGTGGGGTTTCTCTCATGGGTCTTGGGGGACTACTATATTTACCTGTTATTATTTGCTGACTTTAATATATTATATGTCAATATTTATCTTTATCACCTATCCAATTTATTCTATCCCCTCCTTTTTTGTTCTGCACCTGAAGAAACCATGTATATAGTTAAGCTATTGTGTCCGGGTCTTCCTCTATAGAGACACCAGAGAAGGGGAAGCTGCGAGCAAGCTGCAGTTTCCATCTCTAGCACGCATGCCCTGATGACCCTCCCCTTCTATTGGAGAGGGGAGTACACACTCTGGTACACCCAGGTTATATTAGAAAGGTGTTAAAAACAACTCTGAGCAAATCTGATAGTCTTCTAACATCAACTACAGATTCAAGGCAAGAACCTAGTTGAATGTCAAACTGATTTAGGCCTCTTACATCACCACCTATTTCAACCAATAGGCATAATGCTTGTCAGGATTGTCTTTCTTTGCATCTAAATGAAGACCAAATACATAATTGTGCCTTTGGCCTGTGCTTGAACAGCTATTTTATGTGTTCATTTCTTTGCTTTCAGCTACTTCAAAAAATTTCGGTATTGCTCCTATGCTCTCCATGTCCGAATATGCACTCCATTAACAGATGGGATTTCATCATTTGAGGACCTCTTAGCTAACAATGTTCTAAGAGTATTTGTCTGGGTCATAGCTTGCATTACATGTTTTGGAAATCTTTTTGTCATTGGAATGAGATCGTTCATCAGAGCTGAAAACAAAACACACACTATGTCTATCAAAATTTTGTGTTGTAAGTATATATTAGTGGTATTGATTTAAAATTGAAAACAGTCCGGTATATTATGTATATTCCAGCATGTTTAGCTTTGCTCAGTACAGGGGTCAGCAGCCCCTGGCACGTATGCCAGAGCATGGCATGCAAGGCCATTTTGTTCAGTACACCGCAGCCGGCCCAGGCAGCTGCAGCCAGCCACACAGCCCAGGCTGAAAGTAGCAGGTGGCTGGGAGGCTGCAAGCCCTGCTGCAACAGCCTGGACTCCATGGGTGGCAGCAGCTGTCCAGAGCCCAGGCCAGCTACAGGCAGGAGGCTGCCAACAGCTGTACTGGGCTCCAGAGCCCTGGCCAGACTCAGTGGTGGCTGCACATGTGCCTCAGGAGGGAGGGTGGGAGCGGCCTGGGCAGCGCAAGCCCAGCCCCTCCTCCATCATCCACCCAGAGATGCACATGCAGCTGCCACTGTCAGAGAGCCAGTGCCAAGGCTCCAGAGCCTGGTGCAGCTGTTTCAAGTCTCCCAGCTGCCCAGAGCCTGGGCCAACTGTAGCAGGCAGCCAGGAGTCTGCAAACTACTGCACCGGGCTCCAGAGCCCTTGGCCGGGTTCCATGGCAGCGGCAGCTGCATGTGCACCTCTGGGCAGGGAGCAGGGGAGGGGATGGGGTTGTGCTGTCCCAGGCCCCTCCCCCAGCTGTCCACCCAGAGGCGTGCATGTACCCGCTGCCACCATGGAGCCTGGCCAGGGCTCTGGAGCCTAATGCAGCAGTTTATAGCCTCCTGGCTGCCTGCCATAGGTGGCCCAGGCTTTGGGCACCAAGCAGGCTGCAGACAGCTGCACTGAGCTCCAGAGCCCTGGCACTAGCTCCATGCCAGCAGTGACTTTGGACACAGGGCAAGGAAGGGGCTGGGGCATGGCAACCCAGGCCTCTTCCCCACCTTCACCCCCGCTGAAGGTGCATGTGTAGATGCTACTAGCAACAAGGATTGGGTCCCTTGTGTCTGCCCTGCGGCCTGCCCCGGCATGCCAAGTCAATGCATGGGTCAGGGTTGGGGTGTTACTCTTGCCAAAAACATTGCTCACCCCTAGCTTAGTAGATTTATGTATCATGTACCAAGTATTAGCTCCAGAATATGTGTAATCTGCATTTGACTGGTTTTGTCCCATTTCCAGATATTCTTGGTATAATCAGAATGTTTCTCTAATCCTTTCAACTCAACTGACCAAGATGTATGGAAAGAGTCTTTAAAAACTTAATGGTTTCACTTTATCAATTATGTTATTACTTTGACATTAAAGAATATACAAGGGTTAACTACATACAGTGTTAACTACTTGCTCTTTATATATTGTAGTTTTTTGTGCAATCCCCGTGTGATTTAAAAATCGCATATTTCATAATTAGGCAGAAGTTTATACTGATTGCAAATGAATGCACTGTATTTTGTCTAACTTTCAGGCTAGTAAGGTTCTCTCCTTGGCTCCAGTAATCAAGGCTTTGTACACTCATTTCCTGTCTATATGCATTCTTCATAGTAGAGATGCCTGTTATTTATTGTTTAATAAATCCATGCAGTGCCACGACCTAGTATTTATGGCATGATCACAGTCTCGCCAGTCAAATTTCTTCTGATATCACAAACACTGTGGTACATACATTACTGCATATATCAGCCACAATTCGGCCAACTCTAAAAAGAATTTTTTTGTGTTTACCGTTTTTAACTTCTGCTTTCACTAAACTGTAAATTTTACTTTTCAAATAGGTGCTGATTGTCTAATGGGTGTGTATTTGTTCTTCATTGGAATCTTTGATGTTAAATACCGTGGAGAGTATAAAAAATATGCCGTGCTGTGGATGGAAAGCTTACCATGTCATATCATGGGGTTTCTGGCCATGTTGTCTACAGAAGTCTCTGTCCTTTTGTTGACATATCTGACTTTGGAAAAATATTTAGTGATTGTCTTTCCCTTCAGTAATATCCGACCAGGAAAACATCAAACAGTAATAATCCTTGTTTCCATATGGATTATTGGATTTGTTATAGCAATAATCCCATTTGGGGATGAGGACTTTTTTGGAAATTATTATGGGAAAAATGGAGTTTGTTTCCCACTTTATTCTGATCAAACAGAAGAAATTGGAGGCAAAGGGTATTCTTTTGGCATTTTTCTTGGTAAGCTTAATTTTTTCCGTGTCTAAATAACTAGTTTATATAATTTTTTTACAAGTACAGCATTTATAGCATATATATTTTCACTTCAATTTTACTATTCATACTGTGTTCCTATTAAAGAAAGAAAACATGATCCCAAGGTTTGAATTATGGGGGAACTTGGGAGGGGAGGGGCTGAGACCCCCCCCATAAAAGATGAGAGCACCCCCCCCATAAAATTTGAAAATAATAACCTTGGAGAGGGGGGTCTCCAATTTTATTAGGGCATTGTGGTGGGCAGCCCAATTTTTTTTGTAGACCTCCCCAAAAGCTAACGTGTAATTCAAACCCTGCATCATCTTACCCTGAAGAATTTAGAATCTAATTTTAAACAAGATATAAGTGACTATAATAAAGAAAAGGAAAGACATGGATGGTGGAGTGGAAATATGGTAACAATAAGAATATGTAATTACATAGCTATATTCCCTGAACAGCATGATGGTTCACTTTGATTTTCACTTTGATAAATTAGAAAAAAAAATTATCTTCATCTACTATCTCATAATATAGAATCTAGCTACACTAATATAAGAAATAGAGGATGAATTGTGAAAGCAAAAACCTAAGTGTAAGCTAGTGGTAGAGAATGCTAATCACAAAAATCTATAGAATGAACTGGAAATAAGCAGTCATAAAACCTAAATCAGGACTTTAATATGAAATATAAATATACATGATTGGACAGTGCTTCAGAGCATCCTATTTAACCAAGGAAAGAGCATTATTCAAGCCTCCAGAAAACTACCTTACCCCTGCATCACATCTCCTGAACCATATTAATACATTATCAAATTATATACATTTAACAATTATCTGTAGGGTTTTTTTATTTCTTGACTTCAAAATACACAAGAATATAGGGCTTTTGTTTCCTTAGAACTAAATCCTAGTTCCCTGAACCAAAAGTGTGAGGGCAATAAACTTATTGAAGAAGATGTCAGATTCATGTAGCATTCCATGTGCATTACAGCCAACCAAACAAGAAATAAACTTCAGGCAAATGCACTTGTTTGGTGCACATTTTTGAGCTATAACTATGAAAAGACACAGTATAGACTTGTAAGAGAAGATACTTCCTTTTTTGTGGTCTAGCTATTTCAAGCATTTCAGTTTAAAGATTTTTCCGTTTTCCTGGAACTGTGAAAATGACTGTTTGTAGAGAATTTGATCTCTTCCAAGGATGATTTAGTGCCAGTTCAGATTTTTTAAAAAGACCTTTTTGCTTGTGGTTTTTGTTTTAGGCCCTGATTCAGCAAGACTGTGAAAGTATATTCATGAAGCATTTAAATAGCCCTATCAGTTTCTACAGTTTATGATTATTCAGGGTCTTATAATAATGCATATATTTAAGCACCATGCTAAATGAGGACTTAAAATATTTTTATTTGTATTCTGCCCATCTTGCAACCTTTATATACTAATGTAAACATTATAGCTGCTTATAGACATTAAAAACAAAACAAAATGGCATTTTAATTTGAACTCAGCACACTCCAGCATCAAGTCCAGTGCGTGTCAAGAAAAGGCATCACATTAGTTGGACCTGGCTTGCCCAACTTTTGTATACATCAGGCACTTAGTGGGGCACAAAAAAGCCCTGCTGAATCACCCAATCTATAGAGATGCTGTAGAACTGGGTTGAACTAACATGCTGCTTCTTCCGGTAAAACACATCTTTAAACATCTGTAAACAGCCCATGTGGTTAGTTTGTTCTCATGCAGATAGTAGGTTTGACATAGACTTTTCACTCTGGAGTTGGGAAGGATTTTTTTCATTAGGTCACACTGACCATGACTGTAGGGGTGTTTGCCTTTCTCTGTAGTGTGGTACATGACACCCTGAGCATAGATTAGCCAGTTACTCCCCTGTCATTGAAGTGGCAAGGTACTGACAGCTTCCCCTGCTTTTACCTATGGCATGTTATAGTGTACTGTAACGTGAATATTTTCCTGCTGCTTCATAGGTTGCTATGAAAATTATTTTATCAAAATTGATTTACCTATAAATAATGTATTAATATTAAAATCCCACAGTATATATTGTCCTGAAAAATCCATTCTCCTCAGTTGCCTTATGTCTAAGAATCTTCTTAGGATTTGCTTAGGAAATGTTTTTTCTGTTTTTTTCTACTGAATTTATTTTGAAATCAAGTTAGTGTTCCACAGTGGGTGCATCTACGCGAGACTCTTTACTGTGGAGTTGACTAATTAGCTCCACAGTAAAGCATAAACATCTGCACAGGCACTCCTATTAGGCCAGAGTAAACTAATTAACTCTGCCATAGGATATTACTTCCTGACATAAGTACTATCCTATGGTACAGTTATTTACTTCACCACAATGCATGTGTCAACAGTGACCAGGGCTGGCTGGGGCACAAGGATGCTACCTTGAGGGGGCAGCCTGCCAGTTAGCTCCACACTGTAGCACCCTCGTGCCTCAGCCAGCCCCTCTGCAGCATACTAAGCTGGTGGGGAGCAGCCCTAGGCTGCCAGGATGACCCCCCTGACCTACTGCCAGTCAGGACTGTGTCACCTTGGTTCAACATGCTGCAGTCCCAGGCATATGTGTAAACACTGTGTTCAGGAGCAGTAAACGCCAGTGCAAAGTATGCTGGAGTTTATTGCATCGCTTTGATATCATGTGGAGATGCACCCAGTGTGACTTTTACATTCACAAATATATGTTACAAACATAGGCCATGGTTACAGAATTTACCTCCCTTGTTTGATAGAGCCACATATTCCTTTCTTGCAGAAAACAGCATGAAAAGAGCAGACACCCACACAAAATATGCACAGAAATGCCACAAGAATTAGCACCATAGCATGCTAATTCATGTGTAGAGCTCCTGCCTACGGAATGTACAGTGGACTTGGATAGAGATCCCACTGCAAAGAAACAAAACCTACAGTGATGTCAGTGGAGAGGAGCGTGTAGGCCAGAATTCCAGCACCTAGCACCACTATGAGCACAGAAACTAGAGGCACAGTATTTTAAGGTGCAGCATCTTGAGTCCATACACCATAATATATCTGTATAATACACCATAATATACCTGCATAACAATGATATGTGGCCCCTCTACAGTAGCCTCAGAGCCATATCCTGTTGAGATAAATTCCTAACCCAGCTTCAAAGGGCCATATAATTAAATCGTTTTTAAAAGACTGCGCTAGAGCTTGGTTGTAAAATCAGCTTTTACATGGTTCTGAAAAACAATCTAAATTGAATTTGAGCCCAGACAGACTACATTTCACAGAATTTTAGAAGCAACTGGACCACATTCTCCTCTAAATTGCAAATCCAAGTCAATGCCTTTTACTGAGAACAGAATTTGGACCATTATTAGAAAGTCCTGCACTTAAAGAAAGGATGGGAAGCTTCTTTACACAGGGTATGAAACACATTGTACATCTGCTTTGCACACATGAGTCTTGCCAGGGCCATCCCTAGGGGAGTGTGAATTGGGGTGACTGCCCCAGGTCCTGCGCTTTAGGGGACCCCGTAGATAGTGCCGTACAGACCCCGCCACAGCCTCGCTGCCACCGGCGGC